ATTTATTTAGCTATTTTATTATATATTTTAGGTTAAGGTTAAGTTATAGCTATTACTTTAAGCGCAGTAAGAAGAAGTAGTTAGGGTATATAATTTTATTAAGTAGTCTTTTATATTATATATATAATTTATTTTTAAAAATTATTACTACCTTTTATAACTTAATAAAATAATTAGCTTATTTAATTTAGTTAAGTTATTAAATTATAAATTATAAACTTAAAGCTTATATTATACTTAAACTTTATTATTTAAAATACTTAAATATATCCCTTTTTTAATTATTTACTTAATTATTAACTTAATAAAATAATTTTATTATAAGTATAGGGGTAACCTAGTATTTAATATTATTTAAAAAAGTTTTTTATACTTTTTATATAACTAAGGTATTTTAGTAAGGGTATTATAAAGTTTTTTTAATTTCTTTTTTTCTTATATTTTACTTAATACTTTATTTAAGGCTATTAGCTTATTTTTAAATTATATAATAATTTAATTTATATAAATATATTTTATTTTTTTATATTATTTATTATATTATAGTAATATTAATAATTTATATTTTTTAAACTTAATTATTTTTATTTTTATAATTAATATAAAAGGTTTTAATTTTTTTAATAATATAGCTTTACCTTTTTATCCTTTTTAACTAAGTTAATATTTAAGTATATTCTTAATATTTTAATAAACCTTACTAGCCTTTTATTAAATAATAAGGTTATAATTAAGTAATTAAGTATATTTTAAAAGGATATTATTATTTAATATATTTAAAATATTAAACTTAATATTATAAGTTTTTTTATTAATAATTAATAAAAAATAATTAATTTTATATTTAATTAATCCTTTTTTTATTATTACTTTTATAATATTTATTATTTATAATATTTATTCCTTTAGTAAAATAAAAATTTAAAGTTCCTTAATTAATTATAGTAAAATTAAGTTAATATTTACTTTATTATTAATATATATAGAATAAAGTTATTAATAAATATTATATTAATTTTATATTTCTTTAATTTAGTAGTTTTAATAAAGTTTACTTAAATTTACTTTTTCCTAAGGAAGTAATTTTTTTTTATAATATTATAAGTAAATATATTATTATAAATAATATTAAGGTTATTATAATACTATTACTATAATTACTATTTCTAAAGCTTTTAATATTATTAATATTTATTAATATTAAGTTTATTAATATAATATTTATAAAAATATATAATATTCCTTTTATAAATATAGCCCTTAGTATATATTTAAAAATTAAATTTATTATAATATAATTATTACTAAAATTATTTATAATTTTTTTTTATTACTTAATATTTTTTATAATTATTATTATAATATTCTAAGGGGTTAAACTTAAAGTATTTTAGTTTTTTCTTTTAGTTATATTAATTTTTAACCTTATAGTTAAGGTATTAGCTATATTATAAATTTAAGTATTTCTTTAAATTAGCCTTTATATAATTTTTATTATATAAGTTATAATATTAAATTTAAAAATACTAATTATAAATTTTATTTTCTTAATATTTAATATATAATAGCTTATTATATTATTAAGTATTTAAATATTTATAATTTTTTATAAATAAAGTATTATATATAAGTTATATTTTTTCTTACCTAAGAAATTAATTTTTAATTAAAATAGGGTAGTAAAGGTTAATATTAGTATATTTTATTAACTTATTATTACTAAGTATAATTTATTAAGTAATTTTATATTACTTAAGTATTTACTAAAATTTACTTAATTTTTATTCTTAGGTTTTTCTTTTTATAATAAAAATATTATAAGTTTTATTTTATACTACTTTATATTTATCTTAAGTTATATTTAATTATTTATTAATAATAATAATAATAAATATATTATTAATATTTTATTTAACTTAATTAATTTTTTTAAAAGTTATTATAATAATTATAATTAACTTAGGCTACTTTTTTTTAAGTACCTTAGGCTATTACTTTATTATTTTTTTTTTCCTTATATATAAAATATAAATTATTATAGTAACTAGTTTAACTAAGAAAGTTATAAAGTATAATATTAATTATATTAACTTATACCTCTTAAGTTTTTTTTTTATTTATAACCTTATATAAAATATTAAGTTTCTTATACTTTCTTTAGTAATCCTTTTTTTTATAATTTATTTTACTATAGTAATTATATTTACTTATAAATTTATAAATATTAATAATATTTAAGTTTATAAATTTAGGTTTTTTATTATTTAATAAAGCTAAGTTATATTTTTTACCTTAGTTAATATAATATTAAAGGTAGTAATATACTTTATTATTTTTTTCTTTTTTTATTTATTATTACTTATATTATTTAAATTATTAATTATTAATATAATTAATTTTTTTAAAAAGTATTTTAAATATAGCTAAAAAAGTATTTTTAATAAATTTATTTTTTACTTTTAATTTTAATCTTTAATAATATAATATTTTTTTAGTTATATTTTTAAAATTTATTTTAGTATAAATTTAAATAAATTTAATAATATATTTAATATATATACTTTATTATTAAAGTTTAAGTAATATATTTTTTACTTTTTTTTTTTATTAATTTAATTAAATAATACCTTAAGTTAATTTTTAAATTCCTTATAATTATTAAAAAATATATTAATAACTACTTTTTTTTTAGCTTAATTATATTTTTTAAAATTATAAAAATATAATTTAAATTAATTCTTAGGTTTTTTAATAAGTTAATTTTCTATAATATTAACTTATTTTTCCTTTAAAGCTATAGTAATTAAAAAATACCTAAAGTAGGCTTTTATATTAGTAAAAAATCCTTTAATTTTATATAAGTTATTATTAAATAGTATTAATATTAGTAATTTAATAATTTCTCTTAGTTTTTTTTTATATAAACCTTTTTACTAATATAGGGCTATAGGTAATTATCTTTAAGTATTAAGTTATTTATTAAGTATATTAATAATACCTTATTAATTCTTAATAGTTTATTTTATATAAATAACTAAGGCTTTAAAATTTAAAAAGTATTATTATACTTTAGCTTTATTAGCTAAAGGTAAAAAAATTATAGTTTTTTATATAGTAAAATTTATTATTTTAGTAGTTTTTTTAAATAAGTTTAAAATTTTAATATTACTATTATAAATATTTTAAACTTTACTTTCTTAATTTATTTTTATATTTAATATATAAAATTTAACTATTTAGTATTTTTATAATAATATTACCTATAGTCTAAGGTAATCTTTAAATAAGAGTTATAAATATATAATAAGCTAAGCTTCTATAGGGTTAATATAAAAGGAATTTCCTAAGGGATAAACCTTATACTAAGTTTATATTAGTAAATAAGCTAAGCTAGACTAGTAGGTAATTAATAAAGAATTAAATATAAGGTATTTATATAACTATAGAAGATATTTTATAAATATAATTAAGTATAATTAAGTATTATTTTATATTTATAATTAACTATTTAACTATTTTAAATAAGTATAAAAAAGTAAAAGTTATATACTTAGTTAATTAAGTTAAATTATTACTAAGTATTAATAATCCTATTATAGATTATTATAGATTTTTAATAATCTATTTTTAGATTATTAAATTTTTATAATAATTTAATAATCTATTTTTAATTAATTAGTTAGTCTAATATTTATCTAGGACTAATTACCCCATAGGGCCTATTATTGCGACTATAAGAGCTAGGTTATAACAGTAGTATAAAGGCTTTTTTATAATTAGTTCCTTTTAGGCAGTTTATTTTTTATACTTAGGAAAAAAGAATTTTATATAATTATAAAAATTAAAAATAAATATAATTATTTTTTTATATTTATTTTATATACTTAATATAAAGCTTTTATAAATTTACTTTTATATTTTTTTACTTTTTTTTACTAACTTAATTTTTAATATTATATTTAAATTATAATATAAATATATATAAATTATTTATAATTTTTATTAATTTTTAGTTTATTTTACTTATAATATAAGTAATAAATATAAATATATTAAATATAAGTTATTATTAATTATTTAAGTAATTACTTAAAAAAGTAATAGTTAATAAAAGTAATTATAATATATTTAATATTTATAATATTATTACTTTTTATTTTTTTTAATAAAAGTTAAAATTTATAATTAATTTATTATTTATTATAAAAAAAAAATTATAATAAACTAATTTTATAATAATTATAAATAAGTATTTAAATAAATAAAGTTATTATTTTTAAAAAAAAATATATTAAGTATATATTAATTATACCTTAATAGATACTTAATCATTTATTCCTTAGGGTTATTTTAAGCTTATATTAAACCCTTACTTAGTAAAGCCTTAGGAATTAGGGTTATTATTAATTTAAATTTAATCTAAGTTTAACCTAAAATTAAGTAAATATTAATTTAAGTATAGCCTAAATTTATAATAATATTATATTTAAACTTTTTTATATAAACTTATATATATATATTTATATTTAAGTTTAATTTAAACTTTAATTAATTATATTTTATAATATAAATTTTTAAAATTTAACTTAGTTAATTATAATTAATTAAGTTAAGCTATAAATTAATTCTAGATTTTTAACTAAAGGCTAGGGCATAGCCTTCCTCTGACCTTACTATTATAGCTTTACTAAACATTTTAATAACTAATATAACCTTTATATTACGCAAGCTTTAGTAGTAATGCAAACTAATCTAAGCAAAATAAACAAGGAGGTAGCAGCCATAAAGTAAATAATTCAAGTCCTTAGGTCCTCTATCTCACTATACAGTCTGCCTCACAGAACAGAGTCAGTAGTTGACCCTTAGCATATAACCAAAAGTGGTTGGATTGGCGATATATTACCGAATCCTGTAAAAAAAAGTATCCCGAGTAGCGGGGCCAAAGATCGCGACCTCAGGTCCTCCTAGGGAGTTAACTGAGAAAGAGAATCATATTATCTTTACAGGCACTGCGTGATCATGCGCTTTAGATGTGCACCCGTGGTCGTTGCCTATGGATCAACACATTAGATGGCCAATAATCCGACCAATGCATTCTGGAGGGGGATGAAACTCACAAATGATTTATGGACCATAGAGAAATGATCGCAAGGAAGGGTCACGCATTCAACAGGGCCACCCGTTACCGCATCCCACCCATCTGGACCCTCATGCTCGTTCCTCTTCCCGAAGAACCACAGAAGCATGGTAAACGCCTTGTTGGCCTCTTGGTTTGCTGCGGCTTCCTGCTCCTTACGCATGACGGCCTGGATCCCTGGCGGAATGTAACCCAGGAGGTTTTCTAGGCCCATACCCGCCCACAGCACAAAGGTCTTCACAGGTCGCTGGCTGGGACCCATCGGCTTAGCGTTGTGCTTAGCAACAGACCTCATGGCCTGAAGACAGTGTACCTTGGTTCGCCAGGGCATTGGATCCAAGCAGAAATTTCTCGCGGGAACGTCTAGGCCATTCGTTACGCCCAGCATCTCGACCATTTCCATCGTGGGCTCCGTCTGCATGCTCGTGTCTATAGACATAGAAATCTTGAAGTCCAGTAGGAACAGTCCATGCACGACCTCACCCGTATCTCGTAAGCGCTTCGCCGTCTCAAAGGCGTACAGAGCGCCGAGCGACCAACCGCCGATAAGGTACGGCCCATGTGGGCAGGTCTTTCTGATGGCGGCCGCATACATGTCGGACGCCTCGTCAATGCTGCAGTGGAACTCCTCAGGAACCAGAATAAAAGGAGATTCGCAAGCGAACACGGGATTGTCTCCCTCGAATAGAGGCGGCAAGTTCAGGTAGGAGGTTACAGATCCGAGACCATCGACGATGAGGAAAAGAGGAATGCCTTTGGACTTTCGACTTCCCTGGATCAGTACTACCCTGCTGCTGTAGCTTGTCAGGGACTTCATGGGTCGATCTATCTCTGGTAAGGCATTGTGCCTAGGTGAAGGTGGCTTCAATGCCGATATGCCCGCGTTGTTTCCAGGAGGGTTTTGTCCAGGGGACTTTGTATGAGGAGCTGATAGTGCTTTCCCGAGATCTGCTACGGTGGGGTTGGCAAAGAAAAAGCTTGCCGGCAAATCCAGGTCGAAATTTTGCCTCACAAGCTCAACGACTTCAATGATAGACAATGAGTCTAGACCCATATCTGCAAAACTAGTAAAAGGGGTCACATCGGCCCTAGCAAACCCCGTCTGGGCGAGAACGATATCCAAGACTCCGCTGTCCACAAAATCGTCGGGTGTACTGTCTTGCTCTGATTTCAGCGCTCTACCCTGGATGAAAACCGTAGGATCGTCCATGAGAATATTTGGCGAGTGAGCTTGGGCTCCTAGCGCATTGCGAATTTCTCCAAGGGTTTGGTTTTGGATGAAAAATGTTGCCGGTAGGTCTAAGCCCAAGGCTTTCTGAATATCGCTAAGAATCTCGATTGTCAGGAGTGAGTCTAGACCCACTTCCAGCAGATTTGTAGAATCCGTTACGTCTGCCCCGTCGTAACCTGTTCTCGCAAGGATGATTTCAACAACGCTTTCATGGTTAGCCCTGGGGGCTGAAAGAGCCAGAGACTCTCCGAGCTCTGTGGGAGCCGTTAAAAGAGTGGAAGAATAGGAGCTTGAGTTAAAAGAGGGGGAGGATGTGACGGGATCTCGCTCGGTAGCATATAGCGGCTGAAAATGGGCGTGACCGGCGCTCTCAGTGGCCCTCTTTCCGCGAGCTTGACTCGAACTCCGACCCTTCCCTCCGATAATCACTTCAATTACACGCCGGCTCATGCGCTGAAACATGATATTCTTGCACGAAGCAATAATCTCGCTGCCCTCAAAGACGTAGACTTGGCAACGCGCGACGCCTTTGTCTGAAATGTCATCAACATGCGCAAAACTCGTATACAACCCTCCGGCGCGAAGCCTATCTCTCAGGACCCGAGTTTCACCCAAGCCGCTTGCAATGTAGAATTGACCATTGTCTATCTCAGGCCTTCCGTTCAGGAGGAAGCCTGCCACATGCACCAGCGAATCGGCCCAGTAGGGGCTGAGTGTGAAGTCTCCGGCGCTGGGCTTCAACTGGACCATCGCCACAGCATCACCACAGAAACTTTTGGGAACAAAGACCTCCTTCATGGACTGAAAGTCGTCACTGTATGTGACCAGATTTGCGAAGAGCTTGTAGGCAACCGACTGTTGTAGATGGTGGCCACGACCGGAGATGCTGTTTTGCAGGACACTGTCCTTCGCCACATTAATGAAGTACTCGGCCTCGGACCATTCAGATGTCCAGGCCTTGGAATCCTCAAAGTGCAGCTTACACGTTCCGTACTCGTGATGATGATCGATGCCTCCCTCAGAGTGGAATCTGACGTGGACTGTGGTGTCTCCCGTCTTCATAGTAGCCTGGATGATTATTTTTTGTACAGCATGGTCAGGGTTGGGGATCAAGGGCCGAGTAATGTTCAAGTCTGTAAGAGACACTGATGGCAACTGCGCGGAACTGCTTGTCGCGAATCTGTGCTGCATATAATTTGCAACTGTGTATGCCATATCCATAAACACGCTGGCTGGACAGAGAGGTACCCCATTTATACGATGACCGTGAATGGCAGCCAACAACGCGGGAGAGGCGACAGCGGATTCAAATGTCACCGATATTTCATTCCCAGTCGATGACTCTGCCCGCACCATCTGCACAGCGCTGGTGGGAAAGCCAGGAACTGCTGGCCCTCCTGGAACATGAGCACTAGGCGATGTAGAATACTGCTTTCCTGTATACGGCGGAGTTTCGTTTGTTATCCAGTATTCTTGGAGATCGAATGCATAGCTGGGAAGCTCTAGCAGTCTTACGTGTTTGCTGAAGTCACGGTGGTATTTGACCCAATTCATCGGCAGCCCTGCCATGAATGCCCCAGTTGTAGCTTTCGAGATAGAATTCCAGTTGTTATCCTTGTCGTTGATTGTGCAGATGAGCTTACTCCGCTCCACGGAAAGCGTCGAGCCCACGAGCCCAGTCAAAACCGGCTTGGGACCGATCTCGATCCAGATGGTCTGCGAATCAGCCAAGCCAGTTGACCAGCAAGCGTTCAGCGCATCGACGAAGTTGACAGCCTCACGTGCATGTCGCATTGCATACGATGGAGTGAAGATGCCTTCCTCCTCCACGATACGCCCCAACAGGGCAGACGCGACGGGGATCCGAGGCTTGTTGAATACCACGCCTTCCGCCAGTTCCCTCAGGTCGCTCAGGATGGGGTCGATCTGAGGACTATGGAAGCCGTACGTGACTTCCAATTGAGTGTATTTGACCCTTGTGCCCATCGCCTGAAGCGTGTTCTTGAGTGATTCGATGGCTCCTGTCGAGCCGCTTACAACGGTCGACCGAGGAGCACTGATGCAGGCAATCTCGCAATCAGATGCAGATTCCAGCAGCTTCTTCGTGTCTTCCAGCGTGGCTTGAATCGCAACCATGGCGTGGGAGTGCGGGACACATTTCTCTTTGATCATCTTTGCGCGGTAGCCCACCAAGAACAGCGTGTCTTGGGCGGACAGAACTCCGGCAGCGTACAGGGCGACGTACTCGCCCAGGCTGTATCCTATCACCGCGCTCGGTCGAACGTCCCACGACCTCCACAGGTCGACCAGCGCCATTTCGAGGACAACTATGGCGAGTTGGATCTGCACGGGGCTCGCGGCATTGGCCTCACTCCCATCGGCGATGATCAGGTCGATAAACGGCTCGAAGCCATGCCAGACGCACCGGTCGTGAAGGGCCACGACTCTCCTTCGGAAGCAAATAGAGGTTGCAAACAGCTCTTTCCCCATGCCCGCGTATTGCGAGCCTTGACCGGTAAATGTGAAGACGACCGAAGGTGCTTTGGATATCGGAGTACTGATAGAGTCTTTGCCGAGATCCGCGGCAAGCAGACCCCGCAGCTCAGCAGTTGTCGACACGGAGTATGCTCTCTTCAGGTCCTCGTGAGTCCGCCTTGCTGTGGTTGTGTATGCCAGATCAGCCAAGAGAATGCCAGGATATTTCTCCATGTGCTCGAGAAGATTAGCTATATTCTTCTTCAGCGAGGCCAAAGTTGCCGCCGAGACAATAACGGTATGAAAGCCCCGTGGATCCTCAGTCCTTTCGGAATCTCGGCTTGGGGGATCCCCGATCAGCAAGCAGTTGTTCCCGCCCGACGCATCGAAGTTATTTATCGCAATTGTCCTCTTGCCGTTGGCCGTCAACTTGAAGCTGACTGGTTGGGTAGGAATACGGATGTTCATGGTGTCTATATGGGAGAACTTGGGGTTTAGGGGTCCTGGGAATCCTGCCTGGGGAGGGATTGTACCACGCCGGAGTGTCTCTACACACTTGATGAGAGACGCGATGCCTGACACCGCCTCACCGTGACCGATATTGGCTTTCAGAGAACCGACGTAGAGCGGGTTGTCGGCAGGTCGAGTGCCGAAGATGTTAAGCACGCTCTCCATTTCGACGGCATCGCCAGCTTGGGTTCCCGTCCCGTGCATTTCGACAAAGCCAATCTCATCGGCTTCAACACCTGATGTGCGCAGAACGTGGCGCATCAGCCGGATCTGGGCGCTGGCGCTGGGATGAGTGATGGATGATGCGTCGCAGGAATAGTTCCGCCCGCCGCCGCGAACGACAGCCAGGATATTGTCATTGTCCGCGAGAGCATCTTCCAGTCGTTTCAAAACCACAACCCCAACCCCCTCGCCGCGGCAGTAGCCGTCGGCATCATCACGGAACGTCTTGCATCCGCCGGGCGTCTTTGACAGAAAACCGGCTCGGCTGAGGCCCGCATACGGAGCAGGCGAGGTAAAGAGCTGCCCTCCGCCCGCGACAGCCGTATCACATTCTCGTGCAAGGAGCGCACGATATGCCATGAGAATAGCGGTCGTGCTCGAGGCACAGGCCGAGTCCACGACATAGTGGCCACCGCCCCATTTGTAGTGATAGTTGAGCCGTCCGGGAGCAAAAGAGCGGGTGGTGCCGGGAATGTAATATATGTCTACATTCTGGCTGGCGTTTGCCTCACGCCAGTCATCGGAAGTCTGCCCGAAATAAGTGGCAATTCTCATCCGGTTTGTTGACAGTGAAGCATCTGGGGTATAACCGGCCATTTGCAGCGCCTCGTGCGTGCACATCATCAGAAGGCGCTGGACAGGATCCATTTGCATTGCTTCCCGTGGAGAAATACGGAAGAGGCGACTATCGAACAGGCCGGGGTTTGCCAGAAAATTCCCGTACTGCGTTGTGACTGTGCTCCTACGAGCTCCAGTAGCATCGTAGTGTACCGCCAAGTCAAAACGACTCTTGGGGATCTTCTGTTCAAATGTCTTTTTGGCCAGCAGATTCTCCCACAGAGTATCGAGATCTTCGCTGCCGGGAAGCCGCGCAGACTGTCCCACGATAGCGATGAGATCCGAACCGTCCCTGAAACCTGTACTGATCACCTGCGGCGTAGGGTCTCGGATGCTTACGCGGAAACCACTCCCCTCCAGCGCTTTATGAAATGCCGCAACCTGGCTCGGCGGACCGAGTGGTACCACCTTTACAGGCGTGTCGTGATGCAGCGTAGCTGTGCAATAGTTGATCACACCAGCAAAGTCAAGGGTCGCTCCGGTTATATCCCTCACACAGTGACGGAGAATATCACCAAATGTGCCACACTCAAATGGTTTACAGGAGCTAGTCGAGAGAAGCAGAGTGTTTTCGCGTATCGAACTGTGACGCATATCGGCGACACTAGCAATAGCGTCAACATCCAGGGGCTGAAGATGAGCAGCATGAGCAGGCGTTCCCAGTTCCAGATTCTTCTTAGGTGTAGATTGAAGTGTTGGAGAATATGACCATAGTTCGGGGAATAAGGAGGGGGGTCCGGATAAGACGGCCCAGTTGTGTGCCACAAAGGAGATATATATATGCCGGTGACGTGGAATTGCCTGTAGGTCAAACAACTCGGCCATCAGCATTCCTATTAGATATCCCATTGGACGTCCCATTGGATACTCTGGGAGTTAGGGCTCACCCACCATATCCCCGTTGAATCCATCAATGATCGTCTGAAGCTGCTTCGGTGGCACGTTGATCACAGCTACCCCCCATCGTCCAGGGTTCCTTTCGATCTCAACGGCTCGTCGCCATTGTGCCAACCCCACACGGAAAGCAACGCCAATAATCTCCTGGCCAAGTCGGACGAGATCATTTATATCTCGAGCCGCTGCGAATGTTGCTGCTGACAACATGCCTGTACAAAGCCCAATAACAAGGACTGGATGATCTCTCTTCTCAAGGAGCGACGGATCGCCCTCAGCCTGGCTGTGAAATGTCAGTTGCTATGAAGGAGTAGTCGGTCCAAGGCAATGCCACCAACATAATAAGATCTCCGACCTGCGAAACCACCCATAGAACCGTAGCAATCGTCTCATAAGGCAGCGTTTGTGCATGGTACAACTCGGAGAGCTCGAGAATGGTTTCGAAATCGGCATAAGGTCCCTTCTCCTCCGAAGGAAGGTCCAGTAGATTCAGTTGCACGATATCGGCCGCACATCGAAGAAAACGCGCGAGCGCCGGTGAGTTGCGGGCTGCGTGAGACAGCAATCTGATGTGTGAGTATGTATCCACTGTTTGATCTCCGAAGAAGATCACGCTCTGTTCAGCCTTCATCTTAAGATATTCGTGAAGGGATTGAGATAGATGCTTGAAGCCCCAACAGTTGATGGAACATAGACTAGAGTCTACGAAAGCCAAGTACAATAGGAGAGCTGCGAAATTATTGTTCAGCTCTACAGGAGCACCGACATGACGCTTCTGGCTTTTTATCATGAATATGACGCTTCAAACCCCTCATGGAATAATAGATTGCAACATTCAAGGGTTTAGGAGCTCAGATCCAGGGTCAAGTCATTGCGTAGGTGCCAGGCCGGAGGTTCTTTTTCTATATAACAGTAGCAGAGACATAACCTTGTATAATCCCATACCCCTAATATTATTTAACCCCTTTATATAAAACTTACTAATTTAGTTTTAGCGTTAAGTTTACTTAACCCTAGCTATTTATATATTTATTAACTAAAAAAATATAAAGTAAAGTATAAGTTAAGTTAACTTTTTTATATTAATTATGTTTTTTTAATATTTTCTTTAGCTTTAATATATATTTATAAAAAATAAATTAATAATTTATTATTTACTTTACTTTATTTTATTAATATATATATATATATATATTAATTATTAATATTATAAATGTAATAAACTTAATTAAAATTAAGTTTTTAATTATTTATATTAAAATAAACTTATATTATTTAGAGAATTAAGAAGCTTTTAATAATATATTTTAATATATTATTGATATATTAATTTAAAAGCTATAGTATAGCTTTCCTTTGACTTAGTTATTATAGTTTTACTAAACCTTTTAATAGTAAATATAACCTTTAATATATTAATTTAAATACTTATTAAATACTTTTTTAAAATATAATTAAATACTTATTTTAATAAAAAATATATTTTATAAAGAGATTTTTAAAAAAGGTTTTTATTATAATATAAGTTAGTTATTTTTATTAATATATTATTTAAAATATAATATTTTTTATTAATTAACCTTAAGGCTTATATTTATAATATATACTTTAGTTATTTATTATAAATTTTAAGAAAAATATTTAATAATCTAAAGGTAAAATAAGTAATATATATAATACTTTTTTAAATTATATATTATAAATATATTATTAATAATATTATAAGTAATATTAACCTTTTATTAACTTTTATAAAAAGTTAATTATATTATATTATTATAAATTAAGACTTAGTTTTAATAAATTTATAAAATTACAAAGGGGCTTTATTATATAATTTCCACGCTTTATAAAAAGGTACTTATTATAGTTATTTAGCTAGTTATTTCTTTATAGCTTAATAATAATCTTTTAATTATATAACTATAGCCTGCCTTATAACTAAATCCTTTATATTTATTAAGCTTTTTTCCTTACTTAATTATTAAGGATTATATTTATTTTTAATTAATTATAATAAAAATATTATATAATTATAATCTTTATTAAAAACTACTAAACCTAAAGAAGTTAAATTATTAAGAAAGTTTTTAAAAGTTTTTTCTTAATATTTATAATAAATTAGTTATTAATTATATAATAATAAAAAAGTTTAGTAATTAAATTTATTATATAGTTAAATATTTAAAAAGTAATATAAAGTAATTATTTTACTTATATATTACTTTAATTTTAAAAAATAATAATTTTATTAATTAATTAAAAAGTATTTTTAATTAAATTAAAAGTACCCTTAGTAATTTATATTAATAAAAGTATATATATTTATATTTAATTATAAACATTCCTTAAAAATTATATAAGTTTATAATAATATTTATAAATTATTAAAAATAAACTTTATATAAAGCTAAAGTAAATAAATTACTTAATAAAGTAAAAATATCTTTATTAATAATAAGTTCTTTTACTTTTTCCTAAGTTTAATTAAATTATAAAAAAAATAAAAGAACTTATATTAATTTTATAATATAAATATATATATTTAATAATATATTTAAATAGCTTTTTAAAAATAATAATAAATAAGTTTTTAAATAAAAGTAAATTAAAAAAAAATTAATATTATATTAAGTAAAAGTATAATAATAATATATTTTTATTATAAAAATAAATATTTTTATTAAAATTACTTAGTTTATAAAAGAAAATAAAAAAAATATTATTACATAATATTAATATTTATTAAAGTAAAAAAAGAAATTAATAATTAATCTAAGGGACTAAGAAGTTATATAAAAAATATAAGGAAAAAGAATATTATATTACTTTTATATTTTATAATTAAAAATAATATTTATAAAATTTAATTTTCTTATATTTAACAAAAGTATATAAGTAATAAAAGGAAAAGTATAAAGTAATATATTATAAATATTATATATTTTTAAAAATAATATAGAAATTATAATTAAAAAAAACTTATATAAATTATAAAGTTATTAAAACTTATATAATACTTAAGTTATATTCAAGTTATAATTAAGATTATATAAAGTATACTAATACCTAAGAGTATATAAAATAATAAAAAGTTTTTTATTAATATTAGTAAAAATCTCTTTAATAATAAAAATAACCTTTTTATAACTAAAAAAAACAAGTATATAAAAGAGTATATTATAAATTAAAACTTAGTTTTAATAAATTAATAAAATTATAATAGGGCTTTATTATATAACTTTTGTGCTTTATAAAAGGGTACTTATTATAGCTACTTAACTAAGTATTTTTTTATAACTTAATAATAACTTTTTAATTATATAACTATAGCTTACCTTATAGTTAAATCCCTTATATATATATTCTTTATAAAAATAAAGTATAATAATATTTATATACTTAAGATTCCTTTATGTAAAATTAATAATAATAATTGTATTAAAAAATAAGTAATATATTATTAATATATTATTAAGAAATTACTAAGAAATTACTTTTATTAATATTAATATACCTAAATTATTATAAAATAAAATAATAAGTTAGTATATTATCCTAAAAAAAGTATTTATATTATTATTAAGTTTATAATAAATATAACTAACTTGTTTAATATATTTTAATTATATTATTAATATATTACTAAAGTTTACTTATCCTTAGAATTATATTATTATTATATTATTTAAGTACATTATAATTACTAATAAAATTATAAAATTCTATATATTTATTTTATATAAAATCTTATATAATTAAGTTAATAATATAAAGCTACTACTTATCAATTTTATATATTTATTTATTTATATATAAAAGCACTTTTATTATATTATATATAAACGCACTTTTACTATTTTATAAATAACTTTAATTTATATATAAAAATACTTTTACTATATTATAACTAGCTTTATATAATAAAGTAATTTTCCTTTAGTAACTTTCCCTAGAACTTAGGATACTTAGGCTTATTGCCTTCCTTTAGTAACCTCCCCTAGAAGGTAAGATACTTAGGCTTATCGCCTTCCCTTAGTAACCTCCCCTAGAACATACGATACTTAGGCTTATTGCCTTCCTTTAGTAACCTCCCCTAGAAAGTAGGATACTTAGGCTTATCGCCTTCCCTTAGCAACCTCCCCTAGAACATAGGATACTTAGGCTTATCGCCTTTCTCCTTTAGCAACTCCCCTAGAACTTAGGATACTTAGGCTTATCGCCTTTCTCCTCTAGTAACCTCCCCTAGAACTTAGGACACTTGGGCTTATCACCTTCCTTCTCCAGTAAGCTCCGTTAGAACTTAAGATACTCAGGCTTATTACCTTCCTTCTCTAGTAAGCTCCGTTAGAACTTAAGATACTCAGGCTTATCGCCTTTTTTCTCCAGTAACCTTTCCTAGAACTTAGGACACTTAGGCTTATCGCCTTTTTCCTTTACTAACCTCCCCTAGAGCTTAGCACACTCAGGCTTATTGCCTTCCTTTAGTAACCGCTCAAGATACTTAGGCTTATTACTTTCCTTTTATAACTTCCACTTTTTTTAATAACTTAAAATTTAATTACTATTACTAAAAAATCAACTTAAATAATTTTAAAATAAAATTTAAATATTAAAAAAGTTAAATTTAAATAAAAATTATTTATAACCCTTATTTAATTTAAATTCTTTAATATTTAAAACTTAATTTTAAAATTATATAAATTAATATTTTTATAATATTAGTAATTAATAATAATAATAATTAACTTTTATTATTTATAATAAATATTTTAGTAAAAAATAAAATTTAAGTATATTAATAATTAAAATTAATTATATTTTATTTTAAAAATAATTTATAATTTATTATAGTTTAAAAGTATATTATTTATTATAAAAATAATTAATAATAGTTTTAATAAAATAAAGCTTTATTTTTATTATTATAATTATTACTTATAGCTTATATAAGGAAGGCTTAAGAATCTTTTATAGCTTATGGCTTATGTAAGTGAAGCTTTGGAATCTTTTTATAGCTTACGTAGATAAGGCTTTGGAATCTTTTTATAGCTTACGTAGATAAGGCTTTGGAATCTTTTTATAGCTTACGTAGGTAAAGCTTTGGAATCTTTTTATAGCTTACGTAGGTAAGGCTTTGGAATCTTTTGCGGCTTCCGGCTTATGTAGGTAAGGCTTTGGAATCTTTTATAGCTTGCGGCTTGCGTAGGCAAGGCTTTGGAATCTTTTCATAGCTTACGTATGTAATTACGTATGTATGTGTGAAAGGGCGTTTTCTAACAGAGGTTCTGAAAGGGGTACTATAAGATTTTTTTATTAAATATTGAACTATAAGAGTTATTTTATTATTATTTAATATAAAGGAATATAATATAAATATTATAAAATTATATATTAAAAAATACTATATAATAAGTAATTATTAATAACTTAGTATAATTAATTTTAAAAAAATAATATTTTTAAATAAAAATATTTTAAATATAATATTTTAATAATTTAAAATTTTAAGTTTTATTATAATATATATATTAGTAAATTAGTTATTACTTATATAATAATTAATTATAAGAAAAGGTTTTTTTAATAATATAATTATTTAATTATAAGTTTTATTATAATAATAATTTT